CTTCCCTATAAGAAACCTGTGGTCCTTTAAGTAATCAAAATTAATTCAAAAGAATGCTCTTCATACATTCTTGAAAAAAAGCATTACATGTCTTTTCGTCTTTAAGGTGAATTTGGATTTCTCGTGTATTGGTTATGGTTGACTGAAGTGCTCGATCTCTGTTGGAATATCAATTCTATTACAAACGGCTCAAAGATGTCTAGAGATTGTTTATTACTTTAATTTATTTCCTTTCTTTGCTCTGCCAGTGGAACATATGGCTGTGAGTTTCAGATTCGACATTCCGGTGGTGACGGTTGTACTTTTATGGGGTTAGGCTTGTAACTTTATGCCCAAACATTTCTCTGCAAAGGGTATACTACCGGCTAAGTTAAGTTTAGGAGTTTGTCTACTAGGAGCTGAACGACATAACGCATGCGTGGTTAGAGGGCGTTACACCAATGCCCAGGAAGCAGAGTGCGTCGGTCTGGAGATGGCTATGACATTTTCTTGGTCGATAACAGCTAGCAGTAAAATCCATGATTGCCACGTAAATCAGTCAGCTTGGGTATCTTGGTAACAAGGTGGGTGTCAGAGGTTTAATCTTCTTCGATGTCAACAATTCGGCATGTGAAAATCATTTATTTATTCAGTATTTAACGAAACAGATACCAGGGCGATGTTTTTGAAATTCACGTACTCATCTCTGTAAGTGAAAAGTTTTATAATGTAGTGACCACAAAATCATGAAATGGTCACAAAGACACTGTTAAAAAATTACATTACCTTCTTGTGTTTTCGGTTGGTAGTAGCTTTTAGTGAAATGCCAGAAGCGTGATATTTGTAAACAGGACTCATCAGAAGACCGTACCTGCGTCCACAATGACTGATTGTGTTTCAACACTCATCATCTGAATCTTAGTACAAAAAACAACGAATGCTTCAAACAGTCAAGAATCAAATGTGCCTCACAAACCTTGCTTTTAACGAACGAAAGATAGGAATACTTTGGCCCGATTAGAAGACTGTCTGAGTTCTGGACTTCGCAAATGACTTATGTTTATGTCATACGAACTACAAAACTTGTAGTCGAAAACCAGCAAACCGGTGTTAGAGGCTGACAGTTATGACAGGACTCCAGGTAAACAGAGAGAGGGCGGAGGAAATGAAGAAACCCGACTACCAGCAGCAGCAACAACGACAACCAGCATCAGCCACCATCAGCGGCAAAAACCTGAAGGAGATCAGTTCCTTAACTTATCTAGGTGGCGTCGTCTGCTGACAACAGTGTGTGACTTGACAGCGTCGACAACATGTCCATAGTCCACAAGATGCATTGTCTTGTTATTGAGCTTTTTGGAAATTTGACTTCAGTTGTTTTCATCCAATTTTGGAAATGCTCGAACAGGAAGACGCTTGCAATTGTGGTTGAGGCTTGTGCAATTCGAGTTTACAAACCAGGTGTCTGTGAATAAAGACATATGGTCATCACTGTGAATCTGCCATGGTAACGTGTTTTACTTAATGACTGTTATTATTAATAACGCTTTATACCACATTATTATTGTTCCTGATTCATTTAAAAGTATCTTTTATCAGTAGCATTATCTTAATGCACTACAGCATTATTATTATTATTATCATTATTACAAATAATACTATTGATATTACCCTGTTTGCAATTCTTGATATATTCTCTAATGACTAATTGTTTATCTAAGTGATGTAATACGACCGCAATGCATTTTATCGTAATTTTATTCTCTCATACTCTCTCTCCTTTTATCTATTTGAACATGACCTGGAAAACATTCGCACGTGTCGTTCTGCGTGATTACTTCAATGTGGTATATTTGCTTATCAGTCTTATATCTTGCAATGTAATTTCAATATATATCTGTGTATGTAGAGTATTCAGCTGACGAGTTCTACCGAAATTTGATGAATTCATTAAATCCTGCTTCATTACCAACACCTTTTGTTGCTTGTTTTAAATTCGTATCGGGAATTAAATGTTTCAAATGTCAATTATGTCAGTGCTTCTTTACTCTTCAGAGGCTTAACGCATTACGTGAGCATTTCCAAAAGCCTGTTGCAGACTTTTATCAACAACTGCCTTTTTGTCAGAAAAGATAAACATTAAGAACTTCGTCAACAAACCAACCAAGAACCCACTGCCCACCAAATACGAGGAAGGAAACGGATTGGAAATAAGCTGTGAATCTGATTTAGTGACATCACGTGTCAAACTCTTGAATGCAAGTCGGAAGGAAAACAATGAGTCCATCAGTGTATGGAGGGTGGTATGGAGGAGACCATGTGAGGGAGAGACGGAAGCTTATGGTTAGGTTAAAGAATGAGACAGAGGTGCACTTCTTAATTATTTCGTTTCATGCGTAACCCAAGGGAATAATAACAGTGATAATCATATAATAGATTTTTATTGAAAGAATAAAGATGGTATAGAGATTATCACTAGAGATCGTTCAAAACTAAACAACTCAAAAGGTTGACAATACTCATCAAGACTGGAGTTTGTGAATCCTATATTATGCAAGGCTGTCTACTATCACCAATGATCTTCCTGATTGCAATCGATTGGATGATGCGACAGACAACGGCAACCAACGAGGGAACAGGCATAAAATGGACTGATACAAAAGATTTGGAGGATCTGGATTTCTCCAGCGATGATATATGTATGCTTACCCACAAATCAGAATACGAGGTGCAAGTTAAAAGCAACAAGCTGGTGATAGAACAAGCATCAAAGATACGACTTCAAGTGAACATAGAGAAAACAGAGGTAGGTGATGAAAATTCCTGGCTAACACCAACAGCAACAACGACAACAAACAACAATCAGCCAAAATAAATGGGAGGAACCTGAAAGAAACAACCTCTTTCAACTACCTACCTACCTACCTGGGAAGCATCGTTTCAACTAAAGGTGAACGGAACTGACGAGGATATCAAAGCAAGAATCGGAAAAGCAAAACAAGATTTCATTACTCTCAAATCTGTGTGGAGGTCAACAGCACTGAGCATGAAAATGAAAATGAGATCCGGATTTTCAACTCCAATGTGAAGTCAGTCAGTGCTACTAGACGGATCAGAGACTTGGCGTGTCATAAAGAGCATCTCAAACAAACTTCAGACCTTCATTAACAGCTGTCTTCGCTCAGATGGCCGGCCAGAAAACATCAGCAACAGGGATCTCTGGCAGTGAGCGAACCAACCCAGCTGGAACCGATTGTGAAACAAACAGGCAGGGAGAAATGGAGGTGGATTGGCCATACTCTGAGGAAACCATCAAGTGACATCACTAGACAAGCCATCACTCGAGTGGAACCAGGTCGAAAAGGAGGCGGCGAGTTGGTCGTCGATGCAAGGGTGACTTGGAGGAGGTCATGCGAGGAGGAGATGAAAGCATGTGGACAGACCTAGAGCGGGGTGAAAAAGTTGTCAGAAAACAGAAGGCAATGGAGGTGCGCAGCTGAAGCCCTATGTTCCTCCAGGAACTAAAGGATACAATAATAATATAATAATATTATGCAATCGTTGGTTATACCACTGCGGTTGTACAGCGACAATTTATTCATTCAATGTCAGTTGATTCAGAATACTTCTGTGATTCGAATTCCAGTTTCGCTTTCACTCCCCATCCATCGCGTTTACGTCATTCTGTTTATCAGAAGCTATCGCAGGCTCCGTCGCTACAAATCCGAAACATCATTCTGCAGTGAAATTTCAAAATTATACGCATGTTCTTTTAGTTTCATCTTGTCTGGTTTTTCGGCAGGAAATTCAACCTTCAAATTTCAGTTTATAGTGAAGGATGGAAGTATTGTTTGGCAATGAATAATTTACAGTGCTTGCATTTTAGCATTGGATGACACATGTTCTTACTATAAGATACATGAGACCTTAGTTGATCTTCATCTACAGCTAACACGTGTCCTACAAAAAGTGGAACACGGTTGCCATATAATCATCCATACATTTACTATAATCAATATTGAGACAGGTATGATGGCATAAGTATAATTAAATTATTATTATTGCATTAGATTCCGAATAAAATATTGGATTTCAACAGAATATTTTCCTTCATTATGTTCTCTGCAGATGTCTTTATCCAAACGATCTCTCCGACTTCACCCTTTGTAGAATAGCCAAATCATCATATTCCATGCAAAAGGGTTATGTTATACGGCAGTTTCTTCGGTGTGTGTCTAGGCAGTCTTGATTTTCATCAGCCATATTGGCGGGAAACATACTTGTCGCCTGAATCATTTAAAGAGCCTCTCACTACATGTTTATCCTTTGTGGTTGATCGTTTGATTTCAAGTATGAAGAGAAGGCAGGCGTTGATAAATGTCTGTAGCCTGTTGGAAATGCCTTTGGTAACGCGTGCACCAATCCCTCCCCCCCACCACCACCAACAAACGTATGCAATAAATGACTTCATATTCCTATTGTGATATGTACCCACATATATATATTTATGTGTGTGTGTGCATGTTGGTCTCTCTTTCTGTTTGCTCGGTTAGTCTGTGACCACTTCACTTGTATGGACTTGTCTCCTTTAATAATGTGTATTCTCCTTATATTATATTATATATAATATGAGTGTTTGTTGACAGTCCGTTGCTTGGTGACATATATCCATATATGTTTGTTGGCATGTCTGCTATATTCGCTATGTATAATTGGATCGACACTCCATTATAATTAGCCATTCATGTTAAGACTGTCTAATGATTTTTCCCACGCTTGTCTGAATTATTTATATATATTCGCATTCACAATTTGTGTGAACTACTTTACTTTACAACTACTTTACTTACTTACCACTTTGGTGTGAGACCATTTATTTTCGTCTCCTTGTGTTTGGACAATAGAAGTATCATCGCAAACCTAGTGGTCTTCTGATTTCCGCCTTCTCGCGTCAGGACTATTAGTTTCTCGACCAGTCCATAACAATAATTCAGCGACGAGTACATAACAATTTGGCGACGGGGAAAACTAGTACATAACAATTTGGCGACGGGAAAAACTACTATTAACCACTCAGCAGCAGCAACATAACAATTTACTATGGATTATTCTAAATTGGAATTATTGTTTGAACGACAAATGAAATTAATGGAAATGTTCGTCAACCAACAGACTGGTCCAGCTCCACCTTCAAGCAATCCCAATCATACCATGCTACCATCTGTCGACGGAATTGTGAACAGCATTTCACAGTTCAATTATGACCCAGAGGCTAATGTCACTTTTGACACATGGTATCAACGTTATGAGGATTTATTCACTGTTGATCTCGCCTCACAAGACGATGCCTGGAAGGTGCGAGTTTTGCTACGTAAATTGGGTCCGGCAGAATATGAACGGTACTGCAACCTAATTTTACCACAGAAACCACGTGACAATTGTTTCGATGATACAATAAAGTTGCTGCGTGAACATTTCGGAGACCACTCCTCATTATTCAGTATACGTTATCGTTGCCTCAAGCTGGCAATGAATGAAAATGATGATTTTCTTACTCACGTTGGCACAGTCAACCGAGAATGTGAGAGATTTCGACTCAGGTCCTTAACAGATGATCAATTCAAAGCCTTGATTCTCATATGCAGTCTCCAATCTCCTCGTTTCACAGATATCCGAACTCGACTGCTCAATCAGCTAGAACAAAATCCCAAGTTAACATTACATGACATAGCTGATGAATATCAACGGCTGATTAATCTGCAGAAAGACACACACCTGGTCGAATCAACACCTCCGAGAAGCTCTGATATTCGTGCATTACGAAAGAGCAAAAATCTCTCATCATCTACTCCTGACCCACCTACTTCTTCTAATGTTCCGCGGAAATCTACAGATACTCGTCCAACTTCACAAAATACGACAAAGAAGACCCCTCCATCACCATGCTGGCATTGTGGCGCGTGGCACTTTGTAAAGTCTTGTCCATACAAAAATCATCGTTGCAGCAAGTGCAAGATCATCGGTCACAAAAATGGTTTTTGTCAGCCACGCAAACCCAGATGTCAAAATCCAGCAAAAGCTCAACAAAATGTTGGTCCTAAATCCCCCAAAAAGTCATTGAGTCTACGCGCAACCCGTCAAGTCACAACACCAGCTATGCGGAAATATCTTGATCTTCAGATGAATGGTCATGATGCACGTCTGCAGCTAGATACCGCCTCTGATATTACTGTTATATCAGAGAAACTTTGGAATTATATTGGCAGACCACCTATCACCAATACTTCCCAGTCTCTTCTCAGCGCCTGTGGTGGGCGGCTCAAACTTATTGGTGAACTCAAATGTTCTGTTTCCTTCCGCAATACCAAATTCACAGGAATTTGTTACGTCACGAAGAATGATTTAAATGTTTTGGGACTTGATTGGTTCGATCGTTTGCATCTGGCTGATGTCCCACTAAATTCTCTACGCAATACAGTGAAGAAGCATAAAATGCTAGACAATTCCGGACGGAGCCGAAGCCGCAAACCCAACAATCAGACGAAACGACAGGCGTCAACAACAAGCCCAAAGGTCCCAGATAAACCCCCAGGTAAACATCCTACTAATCATTCATCTTCTCAAAAGGGGAGGTGATATGTATCCACATATATATATTTATGTGTGTGTGTGCATGTTGGTCTCTCTTTCTGTTTGCTCGGTTAGTCTGTGACCACTTCACTTGTATGGACTTGTCTCCTTTAATAATGTGTATTCTCCTTATATTATATTATATATAATATGAGTGTTTGTTGACAGTCCGTTGCTTGGTGACATATATCCATATATGTTTGTTGGCATGTCTGCTATATTCGCTATGTATAATTGGATCGACACTCCATTATAATTAGCCATTCATGTTAAGACTGTCTAATGATTTTTCCCACGCTTGTCTGAATTATTTATATATATTCGCATTCACAATTTGTGTGAACTACTTTACTTTACAACTACTTTACTTACTTACCACTTTGGTGTGAGACCATTTATTTTCGTCTCCTTGTGTTTGGACAATAGAAGTATCATCGCAAACCTAGTGGTCTTCTGATTTCCGCCTTCTCGCGTCAGGACTATTAGTTTCTCGACCAGTCCATAACAATAATTTAGCGACGAGTACATAACAATTTGGCGACGGGAAAAGTAGTACATAACATATTGAAAATTCGAATTCATACGTAGTGCCTGTATTTGAAGCGAAACTGTGAAGGTAAGTGGAATATATTATTTATACCGTTGAGAGTGGTCAGTGCTAGCTGTTTTCAGGTATGTTACTTAATCACTTCTTTTTCCCTAAGGTTTACCTGAAGTCCCGCCTGCACTGCCAGTCTCTTTTGGCAATACATTTGAAAAGCATTCTTTTGGTAAATATGGATCCCCCCCACCGTCCTCGTATTCTCAATCTTACGCTAGCCATCGAAAGATATAAAATGTCCATTCGCTTCATTTGCTCATTACAGAAAACTGCTGAAGCTAATTCGATTTGGAAATTTCGTTAGTTTTAGACAAAGCAAATACTGGAATTCCTGGGAAATTTGTAAAAGTCTGACACTTAGATAAATCTGCTATTATCAAACATACTAACATACATCACATTTATCAACTAATACAGGAGAGGTCACCTGATATTAAATTCATATTCAAGGTCATTGGAACAATGGGAACTACTGGCGGTCAACACAGCCAATTTTGCCCGGAGGGCATTATTCTACTGGCATATAAGTCGTGAAAAGCTCAATTCATTTTGCGAGCAAAACGATTGAGCGAAGAAATATTTACTCTTCAATTAGATTCGCATTTCTGAATCTAATCTAACATATTATGTATATGATTTTTGTTACAATACACAACAATTTACCAATGAAGTGGCACAGATATGCTTGATAACAATAATTAGTCAGTTTCAAAATGTCAGTGGGATGATAATTAAAGAAGGAAAATAATACACACACTTAAAAGGTAGAAGTGGTTGCAATACACGGATTGCGTATTTCATGATTTTGGAAAAATGAAGGGTAATTAAGGAATACGTGTGTGCTCAGGTTGATCACTTACCAGATTGTTGAAGAAAATAAAAAAATTTGGACAGCGATAATTCGTACCTAAGGTCGATGTATGAATGTATAAATCGGAGTACTTCGCCCCCTTCTCCTAAACCTTTAAAAATTATAAAAATTAAAATTGTTCAAATTATTTCATCAATTTTCTGACTATTTCACCTTTTACTAACATGTCATCGTTGCATTTTATTTTATTTTTGTGGCCGCTTCAACCTTAGTTACAAATTACCATTGTCCAAATCGTTTAACTTTCTTCAGCAGTCTGTTACGCAATCAACCTGAGCACACAATTATTCCTTAAATACTCTTCAGCTTTACAAAATTATGCATTAAACAATCCGATATTGTTCTTACTGACGTTTCGCTATTTAATGTTGCTAATAGCTTTAGCAAAATATTATTAAACCGGAATTTACAAAATCTCAGTATACATATACAACAAAGAGTTGAGGGGTGAGAAAAAAGACTTAGGTCAAGTTTAAGGTACATATTGAAAGTCAAAAATAACAATGAAGATCACTAAATCAAGTGACAAAGGTAATAGTACATCTGTTATGATATCAAAACAAAATTGACTAACTTCACCGTTCGTTATTCTGGGGTCGTTTTTTGTTCTCAAGTTGGTGAATTGGTAAAGATAACAAAATCAAGTGTAGATTGTTGGATTTTATCAGTGTGTAAAATTATAAAAGTAGTGTGTTTTTACATAGTGAACTCGCTTATCACATTTGTGTTGGTTTTGCCACTTCATGGAGGAGGGGGTGTTGTAACCAGGTCAGATTCTGTGTTAGTCCATCATTCCTTCTCAGGCAATTTAGATTCCACTTGATATGAAGCGCTTCTGATGATATTAGATGTTTTTTGTGATTTCTGAAGTTTTTCTGGATTATTTCAATATTGTCAAAACCATTGTTGTGACCTGATTCTATAGCGTGTAGACGTGACATGATCTACAGTGTTCATTTGTTCTTACTTTGATTTCTCTCGATGTTTGTCCGATGTATATCGCATCAGATTCCAAGCATTTTATTTTATAGTCACAATTAGATAGAGAATCTTTCGGGATTTGGTCTTTTATATGGACAAGTTTGATTTGAAGCGTGTCTGATGTTTTGAAGAAAACTCTGATGTTGAGCTGATTGAGTACTCGTCTGACGTCTCTGCTCTATATGGAATGACGACTGTTGATGTCCATGTTTTCAGAATGCGTTTTCGACCATACTCAATATCTGTGTTGATTTTGTTGATGAAGTTGCTTCGGTAATTATTGTTGATAAATATATCATCACTTGGTTAGCAAATTGTTGTGTACTGCAATAAAAATACTATACGTGCATATTATAGTAGAGCCAGAGATGAGGATCTAACTTATATTTAAATATTTCTTTACTCAATCTTCTTGCTTTCTACATGTCTAAGTGGGGATTTTCTCTATATTCAATTCATTTTGATGTCTGTGCAGACGATCTTGTATACAAATACAATAAAATCTTCACAAACAAACTATACTGCTCTGAGAACAGAATTTACCATAAGTTACAGTGTGATAATAGGAATTTACCGCTCTTCACGAATAAATATATAGATTTTCGACAGTATTTAGAAACTACAAAAATCTTGAATCAGAGGTATTTCAGATGACTAAACTGTTATAGAGTGCATCAGTGGCACAGGGGTGGAATGCTTGCTAACAACGCATTTCGTCTGGAATTCAATACTCTGGTGACGCTATCCGTTACCTTGCCAAGCCTGTAATGAGACTGTTAAGTTGAGAAAGTTGGATATGAGGCTAGCAACCCCACTCCGTAAAAAACCTTCACTGCTACCGAAACGGCAAGCCTCTAGCTTGAACCCCTTTGTTACGCTGAGATTGTAGAGGAATAAAAAGAGTTTTAAAAAATTGAAAAATCGTCAAAGAACTGAGTCAGTCAACCGGTCTGAATGATCTCGTCAAGCAGAAAACATACACAAACATGTATTTGTGCCTTACTTTTACAAGTAATGAGTTTGATACTGTATTTACATCAAAACTAGAGGATACACCACCTCTTCAGGCAAAATGTTTGGCGACTATGTGTTATCATTACTCGCACAGGTTAGACAGCACTCCACTTATCTGTCTGTATACCTGCATAAACAAAATTATTCCATGTTATTATGATAAAGGAATGAAGCATGTAAATCAGACTTCCCATGATCCTGTCTTAATAAATTAAAATAAAACATAAGGGACCAAAAATTACCAAAAATAACTGACTATATTACACTCTGATATGAATAATACTCAGTTATTCCGGAAATTAATATTTCAACGCATAAAGACTGATGATTATTCACGTGAATCCAAGTTAGTAGTTAACTAATATTAAATAGCCTATGGTGTGTTTAATGTTTTTAAATGGAAGGTGGCTTTTTATTTTTGTAAAGCAAAATAATAATTTGTTGTTGTGAGTAAGAGGAGAGAGCGAGAAAGCTGGTTTAGAGTGTTTCCAATTACATTTTTTCAAACAAAAAAAAACACTTTTATTGTTTATTCAAAAAGTTTTTAATACTTGGTTTGTAAGGATTAGATTTGTTTATACGAAGAACCCAGTGGGTAGGTACTGTCGATGATTTCCAATCTAGAATGAAAAACAGCTGTCCAATACTCCCTAGTGGGTTTTCAATGGTACTCTTACTGATATCCATTCGTGGTCTAACTCGTATGGACATATCTAATCCTTAAGAACCAAACTCTTGAAATTAAATCGGACGATCTGTAGTGGCTCGTCAAAGGACAGAGTTTTCTGGAGTGAGTTCTAGTGAGACGTCGTGACCACTGACGTCCATCCAGTCAAGTGTGAGGATGGAGTTCTCACTGATGACATTGGTTGGTGGTCATGTTAAATCACGAATTGGTAGATGTGAGAATTCATGTGTTGACCAGTTAATCGGATTCCAGTGGATGAATGGTCTATGAGCTTGCCCTTTTTTACTACAGCTTGATTCCACACCGTATTTTCGGTACAAGTATGGAATTTACCTTTTCCTTTACCTTGCTAAGACAGTAATAATGCTGGTAAAGAGGAAAGGTTAG